TATTGGAACGTGTACCAGCGCTACGCGAACAATCCCCGCTATCGAGGCCGCGAGTGGCAACGGGGCACTGGTGGTGATCTCAGCCAGTTCCCAGGCCAGCTCCCACCGCGCCAACGATCTCCAGAGCTCTCCAACTCGTGGTCGAAGTTCCAGAAGCGTTACGGCTCCACTGGGCTGGAGGAGATTCTCGACACCTTCGTCGAGTGGGAGCAAATGACGGAGTTGCAGACGCTGGGAAACCGGCAAAAACTTTTTGATGGATGGCTGGGCAAAATGAAGGCCCTGGTGAGCACCTTACCATCCAGCTTACCATCCCTTCTAATCCAATTCAGATCAAGCGTGGCAAGACCAGTGGCAACTTCCAAGTGCTCATGATTGCACTCGGAGGCGTTGCATCGCATGACAGCCGCCTTGCGTCCCTTGTTGCAAGTGAGGGATTATCTCAGTTCATGTCCACTCTGTACCATGGGGAGCTGAGCGACGAAGAACTGCTCAGTCGAGCTCAGCATCACGTTGCGTGAGTCTCCTTTACCCATGTGGATGGAACAGTTTATTGACTTATCTTCATTCCAGTGGCTTGATGATCCACGACGCAGATCAGGCACGCGACGCTCTGCTCAAAGGCGAAGACGGTCCAGATGCCACCGGGGCGGACGACCCCACCTCAAGCCCTGCACGTGCTCCCACCATCACCCCCGTTTGCACCCCTGTCTGCGCCCCCGCTCGCACCCCCGCCCGCGCCCCCGCTGACACCCCCACCCGTGCCTCTGCGCGCACCACTGTTCCCTCGTCTCCTGCTGACTCCCTGGCTCAGTTGCGGGCACGGGCTCCCCCACATCACCCCCTTCAGCCGCTGGAGACGGCTCCGATGTCGCAGCGGGAGGTTGAGGAGGGCATCCAGACCATCTTGGATGCTTTGGACGGTCCTTCCACCTTGCGCTCAAAACGGACGATGAAGGTGAACCGCTTGTGGGACAACCTCCTTGACGACCTGAGCGCGTTGTCGATGGCTCAAGTCGGGAGCGAACCGCTTGGTACGTTGACAAGCATGAGCCAAAGGACGTTCCCATGGAAGACCGCCGGTCCAGCGCTTTTCAAGGCAGGGTACATGGTCCTCGGATGGCCCCATCTTCTTCCCCTTCCGACGAAGCTCAGACACGCAGACAAGGGCATTCGCTCGTTGCCGGCATCGCAACAGAGCTCACTGGCGGCCGCCATCAAGTTCTCCCTGAACGAGGTCTTTGAGGGGCGCGAGCCAGCGGGTATTTCCTTTTTTGGCAACGACTGCCGCGATCCCCGTGAGCGCTTCCTGATAAACACCTTTTGGCACGAATTGACCTTCATTCCAGGAATGCCCATGCTCGCTGCGTTCCCCCAGCGCGTTGGAACAACCATTGCTTTCAGTGGTTCCGAGTTCGTCCTCGGGGTGACTGGACAGGGGGACCCGTGCTACTTCAGGCTGAACCTCTTGGACCCAGACCCAACGCGACGATACTTGGACTTCAGCATCGTGGTGAAGAACAAAGCCGGGGACTACGCTCTTCCTGTGGTCTCCCAACCGGCTTTGCATGCACCTGGGGCTGCTCCTGTCGTATTGAGCTCACCAACGCGCAAGCGCCGTGGTCACCTCCCCGCCGCACCCCTCGCTGCACCCCTCGCTGCACCCCCCGCCGCACCCCCCGCCGCGCCCCCCGCCGCACCTCCCGTCACTGACACAGCGTCGTCTCCCATGCCGCAGCCTGCCTTACCCCCGCCTGCTGTCAACAAGGCCAGTGGGAAGAAGCGCAAGGCTGATCCCGTGGACATTCCCGCTCCCCGTCGCAATCCGAAGCATGCCAAGGCCAGCACTGCTGCCCCACCTCAACCGTCGCACCAAGTTGGTGGAGGCAAGCAGCGTCAGGAGTCGACACCGGCCTCGGAATACGTCCCAACTGCGTCTGCTCTCTCGGAGACATCGGATGCTCAAAAGGAAGGTCCTGCCGGTCAGTACCTCGCTACCCTATATGGACATGACAATCTTCCCCTCGGCTTCATTCTCCCCAAAGAGAAGTGCAGATCTAAATCATTTCCAGTAGTTCTGATGCGCAAGCTGCCGCGACAGAACAAGCGTCGCTATCAAGAGATGAACGCGCCGTCCCCCGAGCTCTCTTCCCCTGAGAGTGAGGAGGAAGTGGCAAAGACACCCCCACAGAAACGCCCTCGCCCCCGCCAAGTCAATGCAGTTGCCAGCAGCTCACAGCAAACGCTGGACGATCCCCCTGCTGCGCGGGCGCCTTGCGCTGCCACCAAGAAGCAAGGGGCTGTTGTTCCAGCTCAAGCTCCGACGTTGGTGTCACAGTTGACGCCAGCCAACGTAGGAACGGCGGCACCCTCTTCAGCACCCCCCGCGGCACCCCCCGCGGCACCCCCCGTCGACACCTCCGCCGATACCCCTGCGGCCACTGCTGCTGCACCCACAGCGTCGACTTCCACGGCAGCGACTGGATCGACCGAGACTGCCGCCGCTGCTCAAGTGACCGATCCCGCCGCCGCTCTGCTTAGCTTTTTCTCTGCCCCGTCCTTCCAAGCAATGATGGCAGGTGCTATTTGCAGCGCAGTCCAGGAGGAGCTCGCGAAAAAATGAAGGTGTTACGTTCAATTTTGCATGTCCTTTCTTGATCGTGGGGTTTATCTGCATACATTCATCCGTATATTAGTTTCGACATATTTTTTTACAACGTCCTGTTGTACATCTTTCATACACGACATCAATCTGCCCCCCCCTCTTCTGGCTATGGAATTTTAAGGGATAGATTTTCAGAAGCTGAGGAGCACCATTACATGGTCAGGTAATGAATGCTTGAATAGTAGTGCCTTCTGACCCCACCCAAAAAAATACTGTTCATGCTTCCACACCTCCCTCAACATTCATCGAACTTGAGGGGCCTTTAATTCTCTCAAATGTCAATCAGTAGTATTCAGTGCACGGAGTTCAATCATGCAAGCTTTCACTGACCCCTACCAGTCCCTGACAGTGAACAGTTTCATTGGGAGCTCTCATTCCAGACCGAAGTGGTGTAACGCTGTTTGTCAAAGAAAATTTCCATAACCGTCCTCTTCACGCTTCTAGAGCAAGCCAGGCCAGCAGATTACTAGGAGCAGCCCAGCGCTTACCCCCGCACGCACCCCCGCGCGCACCCCCGCACGCACCCCCGCGCGCACCCCCGCACACACCCCCGCACGCACCCCCGCGTGCACCCCACAACAACAACAGATTGTGTACAACACCAAACTCATAGTCAAGGGCGATTTAGGACAAGTTGAATGGTCTAAAATTTTGGGATTCCATGATACAGAGCCCTGAATCATGTGGAAATACCACTAGGATTATTTTACCCTGGTTATTTGAATTTCTTTCTGTGATCAACATCATAATCCCCGGCGTGAGGCAGAGTTACACAGTGCAGAGCTTCTCAGGGAGCAGAGTAGTACACTCTGTAAAAGCTGTTGTTTTTCCTCAAAAAGGCAGCTACAATGCAACGAATACCACGAGTGGTTAAACATGGAACTGATCAACCGCACGGGTGACCCCGCAAAATGATGGGAACATTCCCATCATTACCGCAGTGCGGCGGGCATTTTGCGGTCAGCGCTTCACTTTCTTAATTATTGAAGCTAGACACAATTGGGATAGCATCGGAATTTTTTCCGGCAGCCATTTGGTTTTTTTTTTGTGCCCAGTCACGTGACCGTTTTGGCCGCCATCCGCTGCATTGTGCGCCATCGTGGAGAGCATGCAAAAACCCGACCAAATGGTGGCAAAATGGCCGGGATGAAGTCACGTGAATATGCGCCCACCACCCGCCGTGGCATGCGGGGGGTCGGTAATGACCCCGCCCGCACCCCCGCCAGCCCCCGCCAGCGTTTTAAAATTTTTGGTTCCATCTGTCACGTGCTTTTTTCGCCCGCCATCCCGCCCGCTCGGTGCTTCCACGTGATTGATTTTTTTTCCCGCCCAGCTACCCGCTCTTACAGATGTAGACAAGTCACATGTATATATTTTCGTTCACCCCCCCCTGCTGACCCCCGCATATGCCCCCGCCCCCAAATGGACCAAATCCCCCCCGCGGGCCCCGCAGGGGGGTACCTGTGGGCTCACTGAAAGTGCCGCGGAGTGCCGCAGGAGCACTCCTGCGGTACTCCTGCGCACTCCTGCGGCACTCCAAATGCTCCACATCATTGATCTTGACAACGACGACAACGATCAACATACTGTCCACGTTGGCTTAGACATTGATGGACGCGGGAATGATCCGCGCAGTGAGCGGCACTATTCTATACGCTGTTGTCATCGGCGGCAGGGATGGAGATCTCACTCCTGCGGCACTCCAACACAATGTGCCGCAGACTCCACAGCACACTGCGGCACTCCTGCGGGACTTATGGCGGCACTCCTGCGGGACCTATGGCGGCACCCCAAACAAGACTGCGGCGCTCCAAAAGACTCTGCGGCACTCCAATGTGACGCATGTGACATCTCTGCGGCACTCCAAAGCACAGCCACATTCCTGCGGCACTCCAAATGAGTCTGCATTCTTCCGATTGCGCACACATGGACACCTTGTGTACTCTAGAGTAGATAGATAGACTAATAATAATTTGTTTTGAAACTGCTGGCTTCGATAAAACTCTGTCTTCCGATGCCAGTTCGGATCGCACATTGAAAGACATGCATGGCTGTGAAGCTTTAAGCTTCACAGCCACGCATTTCCATTCGTCCACGATCAATCTTACCTCCGTCATGGAGATACTCACACTCATATTTGGCTTACTCTTACTTCTCGCGCATCAGCAAAACATCTTCAATGCCCTATTGTTGCTGGGCCGTGCTGTAGTCAGCTTGTTCCGGACACCTGGGGGACATCGTCCTCGAAGAGCAGTGCCGTACATTACACGAGACGGTGAGCGTTGTCTCGTGCATACACAACTTTCCTCACCATCCTCGAGGCAAGCAAATTGCGATGGTTCTTGTTCCATCCAGAGAAGACCTCTATATTGTGCCGACCAGCGTCCAGAACGGTATATATTCGAGTTTTTTTAACTCAGGGGCCAGAATAGCATTATTCACATCACTTAGACTCGCCGTTACTCGAACCGACTGTGCTTCCCATTGATCAAATGCGACCGTCAACCACACTGCAGTCGCACCCCGAAGCTGTGTCCTCTGTCGAGTCGCTGCCTACTTGTGCGCTACTCACCTGGGATGGCTGGCCAGACGGCACGTTCTTCTACTTGTTCACCCAGGCCAGCTTCAATGAGACGAAGAAAGCGAGTTTAAACTGGGTGTGCTCTTCCGAACGATCGACTCGTGGGGACCCAAAGGCTCAGACGTGGAATAGAGGATGCGAAACTCGGAAGCGGTGCCTGGGCTGTTTTATGTGTGAGTCACCGCGATGCCTCACTCCAGTTTGCGTTCCTGCCCGGGCGGACTTGGATCCTTCGCTTGTCCTAAAGCGCCACTTCTGCTCTTGTGAAGCTTGTCTCCGCTTCATCTCATGTAACGTTGTGGCATCAATCTTCAAGTACTCGGGAGGAGCTATGTTTTTTAACCGTGGCCAGCACACACACCCGAGATACACGCATTCACTCCGTAAATCGCGGAATGGGTCTGTGAGTATCATGGAGTTTCTCCCTCTGTCACCGATTGCGCTACAGGGTGAGATCAACGAGGTTCGTTGGTCTATTACTCTGTTCTACTGTCTTAATGATCTCCTATCTTTTAGTCCTGTGACGAAATCAACGAAGGGTGGCGGGGAATTGAGCCCAAATTACGATGCACTTCACGGGCAGGCACCGAAGAGGAGGTGCATGATGAAGATTCCGTTGATGCGGAGTTGAGTGTCTCTGGTGAGTGTCAGTCCTGTGTTCGATCTCCCAAACACCGAAGCTCGAAGTACAGACGGAAATGTTCAAGAATATCTTGACATTGATGAAGCTGAGAGGTTAGAAATGGAGCAGGATCCAGGGGCAAATGATTCGTCTTAGATAAACCATACGATCGACTCGCTTAGCAGGCTTATCTGATATCAATATGAAATTTTTTACTCTTAGCTCTTGACCACCATTGTGCGCAACACCATGGAATCAGTACGCAGATCTTCTCAACCAGAAAGCCAATTTTAAAACCTTGACTAAAACAGTTCCTCCGTAACCTTCTTCACCAGTGGTTTGGGGACACCGGACAGAGAGATACAGGGGCTATTGGTAATCATATCCCACTCAGCGCCTGCTCGATATAACCTTCTAGGGTTAGCAGAAAGTATTTCACAGATCGATCCGGCTGCGCTTCCAGTTTATGATGGAGACGGAAACATAGCAGCCTTTGTAGAAAGCCGCCAGCACGAGGCAGCGAGACTTGAGAATTACAGTGAGATAATGTTCATCTATGTTCCTCTGAGATAATCGAGCCGTTCAGGAAAAATCGGCGCCTCACCAGCTGTAAAATCCATGAAAGCAGTCCCTCGAACAGATCCTGAACACGCGGTATCATGGCCCATGCCGGTTGGACTGCAGAGCCCGATTCTTCGACCGGTCCCAATCATACCAGCTTTCTCTCAGCAGGATCGTATTCCCGCTACAAGTGGGACAACATCGGTCCTGCCACAGCCCGTTTGGGACTGCTGGTATGATGGAGACTTCGAATTGGACTGCTTGCTGGAGTTCTATCGCGAAAATCACCAGCTCCGAGGACACTGGTCTTGTGAGGCTCTAGGGGGCCTCGAGGGCGGTTCTGTCAATGCAGAAACCTGGGACTTGGGGAAACTGACCCGAAGACGGTGCCATGGTGTCATTCTCTGCATCTTGTGCAAGATTCCAATTCGCCCGCATAGTTCTCGGGTACGGATCCAGAAACAACTTGGACCTTGTTCAAAATGTGGCGCCGACTTGGTTCATCGCACCTGTGGGGCCACTGCAAATGTCTACGTCTTTGTGAATGGCGTACACTTCAAACACCAAGGATCGCACGATCACGATCGCCCTCCACGTCTCAAGCTTAGTGCTTCCGAGAGCAAAACCTTGCGAAATCTTATATTGGAAAATCCTACCTCTGGGCCACAGCAGCTGCTCGTTGGGCGCCCAACAATTGATGGCCCAGGAGAATCTGTGGCGACAATCTCTCCCCTTCTCCTCAATTCTGATCGCATCAGCTACGAGCGGCGCAAAATCATAGAACGCACGGACAAGAACTCGAATTTTGACCGGGAGATCTCTAAAATTGAGCGCACATATCCTGGCGTCATCCAGTTCCTCCAGTGGGGCAATCGATTCAAGATCATCACTCTGCAGACGACTTTCATGTCTTCGCTGCTCACCAAGCCCTTGATCGACAGTGAGGCCGTGAACGGGTTTCTCTCTGACGCCACTCATCGCTTCTGGAACATGGACAAGTCGCTTTTGATGATCACTTCGGCGTTTGAGCCAACGCATCTGAAAAGCTGGGTCCCCGTGCTCGTCAGCTTTATTGATGGAGGGACAGCTGAACATTATCGCGCACATTTCTTACAGCTTTTCTTGGCAATCAAGCGAGAGTGCGAGCGGCTAAGTCTTGTGGTCACAGATGAACATTTTGCAAATGTAAGCTATGTCAAAACTCCGTTTTTCATTGTACTCATGAGCTTAGGTTGTCGATTTCAGTGCAGCTGAGCGAAAAGGATTTATTCTCGCCTTTGTGGACTTCTGGATTGAAGACGAGAACGATTCGAGAAGTGAAGACGACCTGATTGAAAAGGCCGGAAAGCTGTTGAGAGGGTGTTTGCGCCACTTCGAGGCTCAGATCACTCGTGTCAAGAAGATAAGTGCGGTTGTCCACCCTTCCCGGATCGATTTATTCGAAAACTTTGCCCGTCAAATGCTCCGATCATCCAGTGCTTCCGAATTCATGGACACCACTGAGGAGTTCAAGATCGCGTTTCCGGATGCAAGCAAGTGGATTGTGTCGCAGACAATACCGCGCAGTGGAGATACGACCAGTAGCGATCACCTATAAGACAGAGTCTCAGCGAGTGTAGAGACACAGGAGCTATATCATTAGCTGTACCTATAAGACAGAGTCTATGGTACAAGTCATAAGTAAGGTCATTAGATCGTAAGGGAGAATGCATACCTCAGCGAGTGTAGAGACACAGGAGCTGAGGATATGGAGCGTATAGTACTAGGTTTATATACCAGTCTGGAGCAGATATCATGATGTCATAGTGGAGTAATGATATCATAGATGAGTAATGGATGACGCAATAATGATGTCAGGTATGAGGTCATTGTGGAGCGAGCCAAAGTAATCTAAGAATACTACTTATGATGTCATGTCTACATACTGTGATAGTCGCTAATACAAACAAGCTTCAACACTCCCACTCGACTAAACAGTCGGATCACGAAGACCCAAAGACAGCCGATGTTGTTGGAACTTCACCCATGCCAGAGACTTTGTGAGCGTGTCGGAGATCATCACATCAGTCGGCACATGGTAAAGTTGGACATTGCCAGCTTCGACGGATTCTCGTACGAAGTGATAGCGGATGTCGATGTGCTTCGTCCTCCTATCATGAACTGGATTTACTGCCATAAAGATAGCGCCTTGGTTATCAACACAAAGAGGCGTGGATGGCAAGTCATATCCGAGCTCAGTCAACAAAGTGCGGATCCAGGCAATCTGGCGCGTAGCATCGCTCAGAGCCATGTATTCGGCCTCTGTTGAGGACAAAGCGACCGTGGGTTGGCGTCTAGAAACCCAGGTCACTGCACAACCGGCGATGAAGAAGGAATATCCCGTGGTTGAATGCCTGTCGTCTTTGTTCTCCGCCCAATCAGCATCGGAATAACCGATAAGGCCTGCGCCAGTGGAACCATCATAGCAAAGTTGGTAGTTTTTGGTGCCCTGAAGGTACCGGAGTATGTATTTTGCCATGTTCCAATGATGTTCTGACGGGTTGCTGTTGAACTTTGATAGACGGATGACTGCATAGGCAATGTCGGGGCGAGTACCAAGCATGGCGTAGAGAAGGCTGCCAATCAGTTGCTGGTATCGGGTACGACGGTCTTCATCAACTTCTCCATCATGCTTCTCGAGCACGATGCCGGAAGGCAGGGGAGTACGAGCTTCTTTACACGAAGACATCCGGAAACGTTCTAGAACTCCTTCGATATAGGAAGCCTGATCGATCCAGATTTTACGCGCTTTGCGATCACGAACTATGTTCAGACCAAGGAAATCCTTCGCAGGACCGAGATCTGTCATTTTGAAGCGATTCGCGAGCAAGGATTTGATACGCGCTATCTCCGGCAGATTGTTGCCCATAATGAGCATATCGTCAACATACAGCACCAAGATGATGACCGTATCTCCCATTTGTTGGCGATATGTGTAGACACCGGCGTCGGAGTATGTCCGAGCAAAACCAAGTTCGAGGAGGGCATTGTGGATTTTGATATTCCACTGACGAGACGCCTGTTTCAACCCATAGAGTGATTTACGAAGGCGTGCCACCTTTTCTTTTGGCCATGACGAGAAACCTTTGGGTAATTCCGGAAGTTCCATATAGATTTCTTCCTCCAGATCCCCGTTTAGGAATGCCGTTTTGACATCCATGGCATGAATCTCCCAATCTTCGAGAGCAGCCAGAGCCATAAGTATGCGCAGAGATTCGTAGCGCAATACTGGCGAGAAGGTCTCATCATAGTCAAACCCATGAACCTGAGTGAATCCCTTGGCAACAAGTCGTGCTTTGAAACGACCGTCACGCTTCCTGCTAAACACCCATCTGCATTTGACAGTCTTTCGACCGCGTGGAAGGCTGGTCAAATCCCAAGTACAGTTTTCCTCGAGAGAGTCCAGTTCTTCACACATCGTGTGCTCCCACTTGAGTGCATCCGGGCTCTTTGCTACGTCCCGCACGTTCTGAGGCAAGTCATGCTCAGCTTGGGCAGCTGATAACATGGACTCAATGCTGCTAGGCCTCTGATACGTAGTTCCATCCGGCATAATGCGGGGCTTATTCCGACGAGGGCGGCGATGGGCAATCGGGCGATCGTCTATCGGGCCAGGCATTAGGGGTACTTCTCGCGATCCCGTGACAGGACCTTGTTGCGCGAGGGGTGCCGGTGGCGGTGGGAGAGCAGGAGGTGGTATGCTTGCATAAGGCGTTGCAGGCGCAGGATTATTGATAAGGTCAGGGAAGGTTTCCTCGAATGGTGTGAACGGCTCCGGTCCAGAGGACACATTGCCGGTGACTAGCTTGGACTTGGCAGGGAATACTCGCTCATCGAACTCAACATTTGAAGAGACTCGTATCTTGCGTTGATTCGGATCCCACACTTTCCAAGCTTTTGTCTCTCGTTCGTATCCAACGAAGATGTGGTCGGGGCGTCCATGCTCCAACCCTTTCGGGCGTTTTTCAACATCCACATAGAGAGACGCCTTGCATCCAAACACACGGAAATAAGAGACGTCTGGCTTCTTTCCAAGCCACAGTTCCGCAGGTGTTCGCCATCCCAATCGTGCCATAGGTTGTCTATTATGAACGTGGACAGATGCATCCATAGCACATTGCCAGAAGCCTTTGGATAGGCCGGCATCGAGGCGCATGCATTCCGCTTTCTCGTAGGCTGTGCGATTCCAACGTTCAGACCTCCCATTTTGCTGTGGTTCGCGTGGCACGGACTTAGGGTGCATAATACCACGTGCATTGAGCCAGGCTGTGAGTTCATTGGACATATATTCGCCTCCACGATCTGACCGGAAGGCCAGTACTTTTGTGCCAAGCTGACGCTCTGTAAGGGCAACAAAGTTTTTAATCGCAGTAGAGGCTTGGTCCTTTGATTTAATGAACACCATCATGCCAAAGCTCGAGAAATCGTCATAGAACGAAATTGTGTAGCGTGAACCTTCCAACGACTGAGTAGGCCAGGGGCCCATCAAATCAGTGTGGATAAGCTCGAGGGGTTTGCTAGCACGTTTCTCTGATGCAGGGTACGGATGCTTGTGCTGTTTTCCAAGCATACATCCATCGCACATGCCGCGCTGGTCTTTATTGCGTCGCAAGGGGGGAACACCTTCAACTTGTGTCGGCAAGTGAGAAAGGGTCCTCCGAGCCGCATGACCAAAACGCTTATGCCATAATTCACGATCGGTAGTTTCCAGGGAAGCGAGCGCGGTAGACTCGTGAGATGCAGACACAGATGGTGCCACGAGCTCCTCGGGGTAGTACCAGTAGCAGTGATTGCTTGCTTTAAAGGTCATCAAGACATCCCCATGCGCTTTTCCCTTGTTGAGCCAATCCTTGGTGACTAGGATTGCCTTGTTGTCACCACCCACGGTGTAGTAACCAGCCTGATCGAGCGCATACCCAGAAAGATAGCGCCCTCTTATGTGCGGGTTGTAGATGACATCCTTCAACGTGAAGGTGTAGTCCATGCCACTACTAGTATGACCCCGCAACACAATATCTCCAACGGCTTCATTCCTGAAGCGAGCTCCCGACCCAACGACTACATAGGTGTCGATAGGTCTGATGTTGTGAAGATCGGATCGGGTGTTTGTCATATGATGCGTACAACCCGAGTCCCATAGAAAACAAACTTTGGAGTCGTCTCCCATTTCTTCAACAAAAATTCCATCATCGATGTGTTTGAGGGAGTCACTCATGAGATAGGACGAAATGTGCATTCCATTGGAGGCAGCTGCAACCGCGGGAGCGGCTACAACTTCTTTTACAGCGCTAGTACCATCACCACTCTTCTTCTCCTTCTTCTTTTTCTTCTTCCCCTCATCCTGCTTCCCCTTGCCTTTGTCAGATGATTGACCATTAGGCTTGAGGTTGGGATACTTCTTGTAGCAGGATGCCGCAACGTGACCGGACTTGTTGCAATGAGTGCAGCGGGTGGCAAGGGACGGAACGGTGGAAATCTTCGAGTTTGACGTCGTGTCGAGGTTCTCGATTTTGATATTCCCTATGACACTGTTCTTGACATCGACTGGGTTCAGAGAAGCGATAGGACGATTGGCCAGGTAAGAGGTGACAAAACCTCTGCTGGAAGCGGGCAAAGCGGCGAGCATGAGAGTTGCGAAGAGGTAGTCGGGGATCTCGATTCCTCCTTCCGAACACTGGCGACGACGAGTCTCCATTTCCATGATTTGCTTTTCAATGGTATCACCACCGTGGAAGGTGGTGGTGTTCAGGAGGCGGTACTCGACGAAAGCATCGATGGCATTTGGTTGGCCATAATCCGTTGCCATCTTCGCAAAAACCTCGCGCGCAGTGCGCTCCCGCTGACCGTCCATAAAGATTCCCTTGCGCAGATTCTGAGTGATATAAACCCGTGCAAGACCCAGTGCCTTTTCGTTGGCAACGTCCCATTGATATTGGCTGTCGCCAGCCGTTCCAGGACGCTCCATAGAACCAGGGTTCGAGGTAGATGTGCCGTTAACCGTAATATGAGTGGGTTTAACCACTCCCCAAGTGCCCTGATGCATGCAGATGCTCATGTAGTTGTCTGACCACGTATTCCAATTGGTGCCGTCAAAGACACTCAGAATGGAGTTGTTGAGTTTCTCGATTCCCGACATGGTGGGGAGATACTCGATGACGTCGGCGGTTTGGTAGTGAAGAGAGGGGAATTCGATATAGGGAGGATCACCGAATAGGGATCGAAGCTCAGGAGTCCAATTGTCCTGATGGTGAAATAGATCTTCGTTGTCGTGTTCACCAAGCTCGTATAGGTCTTCCCAATCAGTGTCTTGAAGAGGAGTGTAAGAAGGTCCCTGAGCCCAACGGACAACAGGAAATAGGATAACCCCAACGGGAGGGTCGTCTGGTGATGACAGGGTGATAGAGATGAAGACTAGAGCGACAAAGTCAGCCCCAGATTCTCTGCAGACCAAGAAACAAATCCCAAGTGCCAAATCTCTGAAACGAGAACGACCAAGCGTCCCCATCCCATCCATGATGCCCATATACGCGCGGGGAATGATAACGAAATAAAGCGGTATAGTAAGTGCCCATATTTGTATCAAAGTAACGTAA